TGAACCCGGCCAGCCGCCCTTTCTGTGCTTCAGGGAGGGAAGGGGAAGCATCCGTGTGCTGGCGGAGGTCCTGTGCTCACAGCTGCTCTGTGCTCACTGTGCACCTTTGGGCTTGCAGTTAAACCTCTCTGTGCTATAGAACTGATGTGAAGACAAAAAATATTGTTTCTGCTTGCTAACATTTTTGTAATGCTTCCTGTGTGTCACTGTTAAACAATCCACTTCTTATATTCCTTACCTTAGTTATATGAAGTAGACATGTTGGTGCCCGTTTTGCAGATAAGGAAACTGAGGCTTAGAGTAAATAAACAACTTGCCTAAAGATTACACAGCTATGTGAATTAATGTGTGTGGAAAAGGACTTTGGGGGGGCAATGCAATACATATGACAGTCTTATTCCATTACTAAACTCCCTTGCCAAGAGAGCCCTAGATGGGATAACCAAAAATAACTAATTTACTCATTCGGTTGAGCTTACCCAGCACCACAGAGTAGGAGTGTGAGTTGGGGTTTGTGCCTTACAATTGGAAACTACATGGCCCCAGCCAAAGCAATGCCAGGCAAAGCGCTGAAGTCATTAAAGAAAGTGGGCGGACTGGCAGGGAAGTTCTCAGGCCTGCCGGGATGCCCTACCACCTGTGGGCCCCATCCCACCTGGGGCAGCCAGCCCATCCTGGCTCAGTCCTCTGCAGAGCCCTGTCTCCTTTCCCGTCTGCACCTTTCTCTCCTCGCAGCTTTCTGTCAGTTTCCTTCCCACCCGCTGCCTGCTCTGGGGCAGTGATGGCAGAACCCCATGTTATACTGCCAAGACTTGAGATAAGGAGATGGCTGGAGTTGAGGAGGGAAGGCCATCCTGGGCTCCGAGCTACCTGTGTCAAGAGCCTGGCCTGGTGGAAGTGGAGGTGAGCCTGTGTCCTTAGGCCTCAGTTTCCTCATCTGTAAGGGGTGGAAGAAGATGCCACTATGGGAGATACTGATTTCCTTCCAGGTCAGAAGTGCTGCAGCTCTGTGCCCAGTGCCCAAGTCTTCCACCTCCCAGCTGCCTGTCAGAAAGGTGTGGAAAAGGCCCTCTGGCTGGTACTCCAGGGAGTTGCCCCCGGCTTCCCTCCAACCCAAATTCTGCCTTCTTTACCTCCCACGGGCTTCCCTCAGCCTCTGAGGTAGGCCAGCTGTGGAGCTGCCTTCAAGGAGAGGCACCAGGGTAGCAACCAGCTGCAGAAGGGTCCTGGCATCTTCCTGACAGGCTTACCTTTGACCTTAGAAGGAGGTGACCTTAGAAGAATCGTAATTGCTTGGTGATAATGATGGGAGGAAGAGGGGCCACCCAAGGCCATGTGCCTTCCCCACTTTGGGTTCCAAGAGGGTCTGTAGCTAGTCACTCTTCCTCTTTTGGGGGTGAAGTGTCAGCGGGTTTACTGACTTGTGAGCACTCCACTTCTGACTCAGCATTTTCCAGCCCAGAAACTGCTGAGTCACCAGAGGGCAGCCTCATCATATTTCTTCATCTTTCCTTGGACCAGGCAGGGACTGGTCAGGCATGCTAGTTTCTGGGGTAGGGTCAGCCATGGAGCCCTCGGTTGCAGGCAGTGTTTTCAGGTGGGACACACTCTCCCTTCTTGGTGGACATCTGGGAAGAAGTGACTTTGAAGAAACATTCCTGGAGAGCTGTTGTGGGGGTGATCTATCCTAGCTTTGCCGGGGGAATCCTGGAGGAACACACTACCCCTTCTCTGGATCTAGCAGAACAAGGACAGTGAATAAAAACAGAAAAGTAGCCCAAAGAGTCTAAACAGCTCTACCTGTGACTCTGGCCTCTTATCCTGAGAGCAGGGTAGGGCTGGGCACAAGAATGTAGAGTCTCTGATGCAGGCCAGCTCCCTGGCCGTCTACCTCCTCACCTCCTGCCCAGCACTCGGGGGTACTTTGATCGCCCTGTGCTGGCCTTGCCTGGAGCCAGCCTTGCCCTGAGCTCAGCAGCTCTGAGCTCCGAGGCCAAGCAGGTATTCTGCTCCTTGAAGCAGGTGGGTACAGCCAGAGTGTGGTCTGGCATGGGCTTGCAGGCAAACCCTGAACTGTGCAGACCAGGATTCCTAGAGGCCCAGAGTCTCCCAGGGGAGGGTGCAGAGCTGAGGGGCCCCTGCCTGGGGTTTAAGGGGATGAGTGAGGGACCTGTGTCTTCAGTATCCTGCTCGGGCAGAGTTGGAGGAGGTCTCCACCAGGTGTGTACCCTTCCTGTACACACTTGGTAGGCTCCCACACATGATGTGTGCAGCTCCCTTTCTGCATGGTCTCGACTGCTACAATCTCACCCTGTAGGCCAGCAGTCTCCAGGTTGGAGCCCAGGTGGGTGGGGATGGGCCTATGTTTAACAAGAGTGTTTAATGGAGGCCTATGGTAGGGACTGAGGCTGGCTGAGGGGAGGAAAGAGGTGGGTAAAGTTGTGCCTGTTTATAACAAAGGACAGAGACCCCAAACACACCAATGGCCATCCTCCTTTCCTTCCTGCTTTCAGCCCTTTTCGGCATGGCTGGTGGACTAAGAGATGGCATCTTCTCGGACCTCTATTTCAGCAGTTCCTAACCCAGAAATTGCTGAGTCACAAAGGAATTGCTCTGACCTCCTTATTTCCTCCTAAGCTGGCTTCCAGAATCTTCAAGCGGGAAAGGATCTTAGAGCTTATCTACTCTAACCCCTCTGTGGCATGAGGAGACAGAGGGCACGTGGATCTGTCCCAGATGGGTGCCCATCTGACTGTTGCATGTGCTCAATGGCCATAGGCCTGGCCCCTAGGGCCCTTTAAGAGACCTCACTGCTCGCCAAAGGAAAGCTTAGGGTGTCCCTGTGAGGGGTGGGGAGCCTGCTCGGGAAGGGGGCTGTGAGCAGAAGCCTGAGCAGAAGTCTTGGGCTTGCTATTCTGCCCCACTCCGGCCTGCTCTGCCTTCCTACCCAGGCAGGGTTGGAGAGACACTTGTCCTGGCCCACCCTGATCTCAGAGGTGGAGCGATCCCCCAGTCCCTGAGGAAAGCTGGGGATGAGAAAGTATGGGGTGTTAAACAGGGGGACAGGGGACGCTGTGCATTGGTGGGTCTTACCAGGGTGGAACCCTAAGACCCCCAATTATCCAGATTGGCAGGACCTCTGGGCTTACCCATTTTGAGATGTGGAAACTCCAAGCTTCGGGCCCTGGATTTCCTGGCTTGTAATCTTGTGGGCTTTTGTCCCTCATTGGGCTGCCCCAATTGTGACAGCTTCTAAGCTGGTAGCTAGAACATAGCCGTATGATGACTAGCTTCTCTCTGCCTTCTACCCCTTCTGTTAAAATTATGAAATATTTCAGGCAGACTGTAAAAAAAGACAGTTTAACAAACACCCTTCCACTCACCACCCGGCCTAAGAAATAAAATAGCATAGATTCTGTCAAAGCCCCCACCCCCACCTCTCCCTGGCCAGCATAACCACTTTCCCCACCAAGTGTGTATCCTGTGCACGCTTGGCAGGCTGCTCCCTGTGGCATGTGCAGCTCCCTTTGAAAGGTCTCCTGACTCCTGGGATGCAGCAGCCTGGGGGCCCATCCTGCAGGCCAGCAGACTGAGAGCTTGCAGCTGGCTCAGTCTTTTTCCTCACTCCTCCCTGTGGGAACCCTACGGCCCTGCCTCGGACCTCCCCAATGGTACTGATATTTGTTCCACCCTTTGGTCTGCACCAGCAGGCACTGCCTGGCACAGAGGGTTGTATTGTATTGTATTGTATTGTATTGTATTGTATTGTATTGGCTCAGTGCAGCTGGCATCCTCGAGGAAGTGCCCACCCAGGCCCAGAGGTCAGCTGAAGAAAGGTTGGGGGTGTTTGGTCCCCAAACATGAAGTCTGGCTAAGAGCTTCATGGTTGGGCTTCTTCCTTATACAGAACTGATGCAGGGAGCTGGGGAAGCTCTCTGTTGCCCAAAGGCCACAGGCCTGGAGATTGGAACCTGGGACAGCCAGGGAGAGGAGCAAGGCCAGGAGGACTGCTGTGGAGACAGCGGGAGGTTTCCAGGGAGCTGGCTGGACTGCCCAGCTGCTCAAACTTTCTAGTTGCAGAAGCCTTACAAACTCTTGAAAGGTAGTGAAACTCCCAGCTAATTTTATCTGCCAATATATACTGTCTTAGAAAATAAAACATTTCAAAGCAATATTAAAGAGCCAGCCCTCTGGCTAGTGGTTAAGTGAAGCCAGATCCCACATGGCTGACTACAGTTGAAGTCCCAACCCCGGCTGCTTGAGAAACACGCTGGGCATGTGTGCTTGCATGCCCAAAAGGAAGTAGAAATGGAGAAGGGATTTGGACATGATTGAGTCTCATTGGGGAATACTTTCTCCCTTTTCTTCTCCCTCTCTTTGCCTTTCTGGAGAGCACAAATGCCCCTTGCCAACTAAAAAAAGGGGAAAAAAAAGGAACATTAAAAATAACAGGGAAAGGGGCCAGCAGGTGGCATACAGGTTAAAGCATCTGGATCCAGTAAATGCACACATCCTATAGCAAGAACGAAAATAGGGAGAGGTCAGTTAGTGGCTTGTTGATTAAGGCGGCTAGATCCCACATGACTGACCCTGCAGTTCAAGTTCCCGACCCAGCAGTTTGAGAAACAGGCACTTGTGTATGCCCAAAATCCCCAAAGGAGGGAGAACTGGGAGAGAAGGGATTGCAACATGACCCTGCCCCATGGAGGGTGCTTGCTCTGTCTCTCTCTAACGAGTGTATGTGCCCCCCCCCCCAGCTTCCGACAAAGGAGAAATGGAGAAGCCCCCATTGGGAACTCGGTTGTGTCAAAAACACAGGCTGGATGGTGGCCCAGCAGTGTATAAAGCAGTGTTCTGTAAGGCTGACCTGCGTGAGAGGGTTCTGTTTTTGTTTCTGGAGCTTCTTGCCTATAATCAGCACGTGTGTACCTACGATCTGAGGCTGGAGCTGGATCATGGTGAGGACACTGTTGGGGGTTTTCTCTCTCTCTCTCATTCATGGGAGAAATAGGTAAATAAACGTTAAACAGTTGCATTAACCAAATAACATTTTTGTAAAAGATACTGTTTCCAAGACAGAAAAAAAACTAGGGAGAAGACTGGCATGGTCTTGTATTTTGGCTTGTCTCTGTTACACCTCACCCTCCCACATTCAAGTAGTTGTCAGCCTCCATGGAAAACTCCCTTCAGCTGTCATGAGAAGATGAGAATGACAAAGGCCAATATTCTCTTGGTCTGGTCTAGTGGACCTAAAGGGTCCTGCAGTTCCCAGGTCACTGGCTAGACACAGAGTTGGGGAGAGGGGCTGTGGTGTGGCAGCAGGTCTGACATGTCTGTCCCCACAGGTGTGCTGGCGCTGTGGGTGCTGGTGACCCATGTGATGTACATGCAGGACTACTGGCGAACCTGGCTCAAGGGGCTACGTGGCTTCTTCTTCGTGGGCGTCCTCTTCGCCGCCATCTCGATTGCCGCCTTCTGCACTTTCCTCGCGCTGGCCATCACCCAGCACCAGAGTGAGGGCCGACCCAGGGGAAGGGGCATGGGAGGGTCAGTGGGGAAGGGGTAGGAGTACACCCTGGGATTCCGGTCACAGCTTATATTCCAGGGAACTGTGCAGGTCCCTGAACCTCTCAGTACTGGGTTTCTCCCTGTCACGTGGAGAGTGAGAGTCCCCTGCTCCCTAGGGGTGGAAAGTGGGAAGTGTTGAGCACATTGACGGGAGGGGGTTGTGAGTACCCCACTAGTTAATTATTGGTACCATTTAGTCTTTGCCCAGTTCTGAGACTGGAGTGCCCTCTGGTGGCTGTGAGGAAGTAGCCAGAGACCTTTGTCCCTGCCCTTAGGAGTCTGATGCTTAAAGCAGGTTGGAAGTGGCTAGGGTCCATGTCACAAAGAGGGATGAGCCACATGTCACAGACCAGTGATGGGCCAGCCCAGACCTTCTCCCATCCCGCAGCCTCCTGCCTACACACCTTGGAATCTTCTTAAACCTCTGTCACGTTCAGGATTGGTTCCGCGGCCTGGGGGTACAGGGATGTTGAGTGGGGAGGTCCTGGCGTTGTGGCCCGGCGCTAGGACCACAGGCGAGGGCCTCTCCAGTCAGTCCGGGTTCCTCTCCCCGCAGGCCTCACAGACCCCAGCAGCTACTACCTCTCCTGCGTCTGGAGCTTCATTTCCTTCAAGTGGGCCTTCCTGCTCAGCCTCTACGCCCACCGATACCGGGCTGACTTTGCCGACATCAGCATCCTCAGCGACTTCTGACCCAGGGCATAAGCTCTGCACCCTGGGGGTCCTTGGAACCCGGACTCAACCTCTGAGACATTGGGAGGGCCTTTCCCCACCTGATGGGGGCCTCAGAACTGTGGCAGAAAACACAGCAGGACAAGTGGTTTCCCAGGAAGCTGCCCCGCCCCCTCTTCGGGGAGACCTGGTGCAATGGAGAGTATCTGCCATGTTGCTCCCCATCAGCCTGGCTGGAGGGCAGCTGTAGACCTTTCAAATGGATCTTTTTCTTAGCGCTCAGTGAAGAATCTTTGTAAGCATGGCCGGGATAGCAAAGCCAAGGAATCATGGGAAGGTGGTTTGGCCCTTGTTGTTCCAGGTACTCTTCCTGAGGCCAGGATGGGAACCTGAGGAAGCCAGGCCAAGTAAGGAATCTCTTAGTCCTCCACCCCAGCACCCCCAACCTGTCATCCCAGAGGGTCAGGGAGCTTGACTCATTGTTCCCAGGGAAGACAACATTTGGCTCTGTCCCCAAGGCCTGGGAAGTCAAGAGGAGAGTCCAGTGTCCCTCCTCCCACTATTACACTCTGGACCAGAGTCAGACAGCCAATTGCCTCTTACACACACACACACGGGCACACATCCACATACTCCACAGCAGAACTCCCTGAGTGAGGCCAGACAGGGTCAGAGGGAATGATGTGCTCCCAAAAAGGACTTCTGGGAAGGGGCAACATGGTGTTGGCTGGGGAGCCCCCAGGCCAGTGCCATGCACTCCAGCCCCCCATTTACACACTGCCCCTCCTTGCACCAAGACCACCCCAGCCATGAGATACCTTCTCTCTCACTCAAGCTCCTCCTCACTGCCCTTCAACTATAGCTTTCCTCTTTTGAAAAATCCCTTCTAAAGGACAAGTCTGCTTTTCTGCCCACACACTAGCCCAAGGGCTAACCTAACTCGGGAGGGAAGGGGATACTCTTCTGCAAGTCTTTTTATGTCTGATTGCCATTCTGCACGGTCTACCCCTTTCCCACCTGATGTGTCTTGCCCCTCAGCTGTTTGCCTTATCTGTGTCACTGTCACTTTAGCAGAAATACAGCGGCCATTTGTATCAGCCTCTGGTTGTTTGTTGTGGGAGTCCTTGTGAGTGGGAGAAGGTTTCTGATTATACCATTTCCCTGGCCTAAAGTATACCCTGGAGGGCAGGGACAGGTCTCTGTCTTGGCCTGGAGGCCCTCTCTCCAGTCCCTCTTGGCACAGGGGAACTCTCTAGCTCATCTTTTCTCCACTGGCTTTTGGCACTTCCGAGCCAGGGTGACAATGCCCATGGACACAGCCTTGGCAGCCCTGTGGGGTCTGGCATCCATCCCGAGCAGCTGGGGCAGATGGCAAAGGGACGGACACCTCTTCCCTTCACACTGCTGAAGGCTTGGGGCTAGGCATAAGGTGGTGAAGCTGTCGCTCCTGCTGGAAGAACCTGGCGGCCTCAGAACCATGGAGGCGGGCACTGGCTGCCTCGCACCTGCCTCTGTTCTCAGGTGAGCTTGTGCAAGCTCGTGGCCTCGCCCTTCTCTCCTACAGGCTCCATGTCTGCTTGAGAAGTCATGGCGTAGAACAGGAAGGTGGCATAAACAATGTCTATTTCTGGAGCCTTCCACTGAGGTGCAGGCCCCAGAAGGTGACGATTCACCTGAGCTCCTAGCTGGGACTTCAACCCAGCTGTCTGACTCTGACTCTGGATGCCTCCTGGAATGGTCCGAGCACCTGTGCTCCTGCCTCCCCACACCCAGCCTCAGCCTGGACTCAGCCCAGGGCTGCCTGTTCGAGACCACTCTGTCAGGGCAGGCAGGGGCAGCTGGGGTGTGTTCAGAATGGGTTCTTCCTGCAGGGTGGCAGCCACAGAGGGCAAGGAGCTAGTGACCTGTCCCTTCTCAGCATGGCATCAGATGCACACGGTGTGTGGTGACTGTGTGTGTGCCATGCCCACCTGGCAGCTCACGGCTCACATCTCGGAGGGCCTTTCACGAGCACTTTTAAAGCAAATAAAACATTTATTGTTCAGATTTTTTTCCTTTTTTTTTTCTTTTTTACAAAAACATGCATACATATACAGGGTATGGTGGATCCTGGGGAAGACGTACATACACGCACGCTCACTCACACTCACTCACACAACACTTTCCTTCTTGGCCCCAGGCCTGAATCCCCAAAGCCTTGAAGACGTGGCCAGGGTGGCCTCCCCTCCCATGTCCTGTGTGTACTCCCCACCCTGTCCCTCAGCCAAGCTAGTCCTATGTGGGGCAGGAGTCGGTATTGGGGGGAGGCTCTGGACACAGGAGGCTCAGGGAAGGGCAGTGGCCAAGGCGTCCCTGGGGACTGTGCATGCTTCTGAGGGGGAGATGAAGGGTTTGGCACCATTGGATCAGGAAGCACAGGGCTCAGAGAGCACCTGTCTGCTCCGCCAGGCACTGAGATGGTTGGCAAGGGGCCTCTGGGGGGGCAGGGGCCAGGTGGAGGTCTGCTGGCAGCTGCTCTCAGAGGGTGCTTCATGTCAGTGCCCAGTGGTGCGGGGGAGCTCCCAGTCATCCAAGGAAGCAGGTGAGAGGAGACACCCCTCTGCCCTAAGATATGGGGACCCCCCCCCCACGGCTTTCCCCACCATGGCCAGCCTGCAGAGCCTAGGAAGTGCTGCCCTGGCTGAGGCCAAGTTCACATTTCTGTGTGGAGCCTGGGGCTGTGTGCAAAGTCTGGGGCCTGCAGAGCCAAGAATAGTGGTTAAGGTGGGCTTGACTGAGCCAGTCCTCAGTCCTCCTCTGTGCAGTCCTGAGGAACGGGGGCCACAGCAGGGGGCCAGGACATGGGAGGAGTGGTCTGTTCTCAAGGAAGGGTCTGTTCAGCCTGCCTCCACTGAGGGTCCTCTCTGGCTCCCTCTGAGACCCAAGGGCCTTCTCAGTTCCTGGTGACTGTCAGGTGGACTGCCCACCAGATCTCCACAGACCTGGGAACAGGCTGTTGCAGAGGTTAGAAGAGGACCAGGTCCAAAGGGCAAGGCAGGCAGGCAGGCAGATCCATTCCAAAGCCTTAGAGATTCATGGGTTCTTCCTCCTCTACCAGCTGCTCTGAAGGCCTAAGGGGAGGCACAGGGTGGGAGGTTGGATGGCCAGGGGCATGGGAAGGGCCTAAGCGGAGCCTCCCTACCCACCCTGCTCAGGAAGCCATAAGGTTGAGGCTGCTGCTTGGAGGATCTGGAATTTCTGAGGGCCCAGGTCAGGGGTCTAGCATTACCTGTCCTCAGTCAAGATGCCCACAGAGAGGGATGCCAGTGCGGTTACTGCCTCCACTTCTTCTGTGTCTGCCCCTGGCCCCCTGGGAACCCAGGACTCTGGACAGGAGGCCAGGCGCTGCATGCAGCCCCAGTATTTACCTGGAATGAAAAGCCGGCTTAGAGGATGGGAAAAACAAGCTCCTCCACCTTGTGAGCACCCCGACCTGGAGTAGGGGCTGGGCCCTCAGGCCCAGGGCCTAATAGTATTGGCAGATGCTGAGCTTGGAGTCAGTTCTCCTACCTGCCCCTACCCCTAATACAACACCCTCTCAAGCCAATCCCCTACAATCCCAACAGGGTGAGCAGAGCTGGTTCTCATGGCTGCAAGGGGGATCTAAAACCACATCTGACCCATCCACCATAGGCATGGATTCCTGAGAGCCAGGCGGACCCACTGTTCCCTCAGCAAGTCTGTGTCAGAGTCACCTTATCCCCAAGCCTAAGTCTCCAGGAGCGCAGGGTTCCACTCCTGTGCTCCCACTCAGGCAGCCCCACCACCGCTCAGCCCAGCACCCACGAAAGGAGAGAGGGTGGGGGAGATGGCCAACACCACAGTGCTCTACGTGGCCTTTGGGGCTTCCACTGCCCCCATGCTGTAGGCCACCAGGATGCTCACCCCACCAACTGTGTGAGAAGTAAGTGTGTGGACCATCTCCAGCTCAGAGCCTGGCTGAGCAAGGGCACCATAAAAAGAGCCAGCAATGTCCACATGACAGGTAACTTCCTCTGCTGAGCCCTGGATGGGAGGATCTATTTTACTCACTTTTGTATCTCTGGCATAGATCATGGGTCTTTATAAAAAGTGTTCAATAGACGTTGAGCTGAAGCTTCAAGTTTCAAGTGCTTTCCCAAAGCAGGGATTGTCTAAGAGCCAGTCCCCAAGAAGGCAGAGCTCTCAGACAGCTGTGGCCAGGATTCAGGGGAGGGCTGGGGAGCTGGCCTTTTGTCAAACGAGTTGCAGTATTGCCCTTGGCCTGGCACTGGCCTAATACTGTGCTAGAGATGAGCAGCCAGTCCCTGCCTTGTGGTGGCCACTGTTACTGATCCCTGCAGAGTCCATCTGGAAGGCTCAGAGGATACCCATCATGCAAGCCACCGACTCTTACTGATAGGATGTCTCAGAGCAATGCTATCGGCCAACAGCGGAGCCCCTGGCCTGGCTGGCATTGGCGTCCTGGAGCTAGGTCACCAGGGGCAGTGGGCTGAAGTCCCAGGCCTGGGCTCAGTGAGTGCGCTGTCTCTGCACTTACTGTGCACCTGGATCACGGCTTCCAGAGAGCGGATGGCGCTGAGGTTGGGTTTCTGTTTCCAGCCTTCTTCTGAAAGGGGATCCACCTAAAGAAAACAATCTGTCAGCCGCCATCTCTCAGGGACCCACGGCCACCCCAGGAGCCCTGGCTGTCTGAGCCAAAGGGGGCAGGTGCTGCTGGCTCTGCCAAGGCCAAGAGACGCTTGCCCCTTCCTACCTGCCTGCTCTTGAGAAAGCGGGGTTCACCTGTGCCTCAGAGGCACGGTGGGGGAGGGGAGAGCTCACCTTGTTGCCCAGAAGAGCAGCCACACAGGCCTCAGAAGCGTCACAGATGGCTGTGAGGTCATGGCCGCCCTCCAAGGCCAGCACCACTGCACCTCCCGCCAGGTTCATCAGCTGTTGCGTCATGTACCCAAAACCTAGATGGCCAGGTGGGAAGTAAGAGGGGTGTGGGTGGAGAACAGGTGGGCCATCCTCTACCTCTGTGCAGTCCCTGCTTGCTCCCTCCCTTATAAATAATGACTCACATGCATAAATCACTAGTTTCCAAAGTGCTTCCACACTGAAGAACATATTAGTCAGCATCACTCAAAGCTCAGAGAGGTTAAGGGGCTTATACAAGGCCCCACAGCTAGGAAGTGGCAGGACCGGAACTTGATCTGTGTCTATCGACTCTAGCCTGTATGGTTTTCTCCGAGCTACACCATCTCCTCCTTCTCTCCTCCAGACCCTGTGAAAAGGCTCCTCTTTCTGCTCCTTCTCATCCTCCCTTTGGAGAGGCTGCCAGCCTAGCCTGGGCCCAACACAGTCCAGGGGGGAAGTTCTATGGCTGCGCTTCCTACCTGTCAGACTCAGTCCTTGAGGTCTGACCTGGTCTAGCCCTTCATGTGAGCCGACTTGGTCCTGAGAGAGGGCTGGGCTGTGCTAGGCTGCGAGAGCCCAGAGAATCCAGGGCCAGCTGCCACGCTCCAGTCTTCACACTCGTAGCTCTGAGCCAGCCACTGCTGCCTTCTCTTTTGGCAGTGCCTCCCTGCCCCCCACAGTCTGGCTCTCACTCCCTATACCTCCCCCTCGGCTGGGGCCCCCTTACATTTGGCAGAAACATGGTAGCCACCCAGGGGGGCTGGGTGGCCCTCAGCAGCATCAAACCCAGCCGACACCAGGACCAGGTCCGGAGAGAACTCTCGGGCAATGGGCATCACAACCAGCCTGTGAGATTACAAGAGAGGGTCACCACCCTGTCGAGGGCTGCCAGGCAAAGGCCAAGGGCCCTGCTTGTGCCAGCCCCCTCCTACACTTTGCTGTGGGCACCTTGCTCTCAGGACTCTAAGATACCGCATTTCCCAGCAGGATCCTCTGACCTCTTTGACTGTGGCTGGCTACCATGTCCCTGGTACACAAAGCCTGAGGACCCTGCCATCCAGGGCACTTAACTAGCAAGAGGTAGAAGAGAGCCAAGGATGGGGCACCAGAGGGAATGAAAGAGGTATGGGAAGGGGGTGCAGGGAGGGGGTCAGGTAAGGCACACTTCACGCCCAACCATGCTGGGCTTTGGTCACTTTGGTCACAGTCCTCAGGGACTGGGAATGCCCAGCATTTGGACTGAGTTGACCACACCTCACTATTCACTACCTGAGATCTGACCAGGGCAAGTAAACCCTGAGGTCCTGGGCCGCCCAGCTATAATCGCTCATCGACTTCCCCTGCTGGCCTCACAGCTGCCTCTCTCTAGCTCTGAGCCAATCGTGGGGTCCCTTCTGGTGTTCCTGGGCTCTGGGAAGATGCCAGGACCTTTAACTCAGGCCTTCCACAGAATTGGCTCTCATGGAAGTATCTCCAGCAAAGTATTTAGAGATTTATTTCCAAGGTTCTCTTCTCCCCAGTGGAGTACAGGGACCCCAGAGTGAAATATATAAAGGTTCCCAAATAGACCTTGAGGTCCCTCTTTCAGAGAGGCCATACTAGAAGAATTACTTAAGTTAAGAAGAATGACCAATTCTTTTAATAATTCTTCTACTGATTCTTAAGTTAGAACAATTACTTAAGTAATTCTTCTAATATGGTCATCATCTGCTTTCCCTCTTTCTTCATAGTTTAAGTTTCTCCTCTCTTGCTCAAAGCCTGCCTCTTCCAGGCAGCCCCTTTTGACTAAATGCAGCAGCTCTGCTTACTCAATCCTGCCCACTCTCAGCACTTGGTGATGTGTGAGCAGTTGAGCATCCTTTGGCATTCTCATTCATTCATCTGTGTCCTGTCTTCCCTTCAGGGCTGGCCTACAACTTCTAGTAACTGGATGGGGACAGAGTGACGAGCTGACCGCCCAGCTCCAAACTGGTGCTGTTAGGAAAAGGGACAGAAGAGGATGGCTCTGTTGGGCCCCTAGAGCACTGACCTGAAGGCAGCCAAGTACTCAGGATCCCCCATGGGGGGGTCAAGACCCCCAGCCCAGGCCACGTTGACATTGAAGCCCTCACCGCTGCCAGCCCCCACCTGGAAAACAGGGCGAGAGACATGAGGTGAAACAGAAGCCAGGAGAGGAATCCAGCCTCTTCCCTTCTAGTTGGGGAAGCTCGGGTGGGGAAGGCCAAGTAGCAGCCCAGCACACACTGCCACACAGCTTGTTGTGACGGAGGCAGAGGACAGGCAAGGGGGCTGGAAGATGTGGCCCGTCTACAGTTACCTCATCCACAGCCCCACTGCCCGGGAAGAAGTTGCCGTCATCATGGCGATGCAGGGAGATGTAGAGCACGCTGGGGTCCTGGTAGAAGGTCTGCTGGGTGCCATTGCCATGGTGAACATCCTGTGCAGGGAGAAGGGTAACGGATTACAAGTCTGAAAGCAAGGTCATGGAGGCTAAGATGTGCTGGAAGGGTTTCAAGTAGATAACCATTCTTGGGCCCAGGACCTAGCCAGGGGGTCAGAAAAAAGGTTCCTAGAGCCACATGGCTCAGTCTCTGCATATGGAGAGATTCTGTGTGTGTGTGTGTGTGTGTGTGAGAGAGAGAGAGATATGTCTCTCTCTGGAGAAAGAAAAAAACTTGGTGCATAGGGGTGGCTCTAATATAAATCCCTGAAGGAAAGAAGGTACCGTACTCTCGGAGATGTCCTTGGGCCGGACCAGGGCACGTGAGTGAGCAAGTGTGTGGGGGTGGGTTGCCGGCAGGAAGAGGGGAGTCCGGGATTACATGCATCAGGCTCCTGTGTCTTGTGCAAAGTCAGGAAGTGAGGAAGGTGGTCAGACACTGAGCTCAGTTAGAGAGGGGCAGGAACATGAGGTCCAGCCCCAGCCCTCCTAGGAAACGCAGGGCCCTACACACACTCACAGGCCATGCCCAGGCTTGAGTGCACAAAGGCCTCCTCTGCCTAGAATGTTCTGTTCACAACCATCAGCACAGAAGGGACAGAGCTTGCAGTCAGATGCACATACTCTAAGCTCGCCAGCCTGGTCTCACATCCCAGTCCCAGGACCAATGAGCTCTGTGCAAGTTACTAATCACACAGTCCTCATCGAGAAAAGGGTTAGATCCAGGATTAAATACCATCAGTTTCTGGATGCGACCAATGATTCGCTGATGCTATCTGGTATTATTGTCACTATCTGCAGGGGAAATGCAGAATCATTAGATTTGCCCCAAGATGCCAAAAGATGTCAAAAGACAACACCCAAGTTTGAGCTCCTACCCATTACGGCAAAAGGCCTTCCCATGCACCATCTTCTCTTGCTACCCAATAGTTTTGTGATGGGGTGAATTTTACACACGGGCAAACTGAGGCCTAGGGAGGCTAATACAGAACTAAGTAAGACATGGAGTCCCATCTCTGATACCATGCTCAGGGCTCTTCCCACAGGGTTCTGGGATCTGAAGCGTCAAAAACCAGAACCTACCCAATCTACAATGAGGATCTTGCTGGCCTTGCCTTGTTGTTGCAGCTGCCGGCAGGCGATGGCTACTGAGTTGAAGAAGCAGAAGCCCCTGGGAGAAGGGAAGAGAGGTCCTGCCAGCCTATCCTCCCAACATGCCTCCACCTCTCCAGTCCCCTCTCCACCAGCACTGGTGTGGCTCAATCCCAGAAGGCTCAAGGGAAGCAGGGAGAAGGTTCCTACAGGAAGGCTTGGGGGCTGTTTCCCACCTCACCCACCCAGGACATTCCCAGGTCTCACATGGCTGTGGAATGATCTGCATGATGTCCTGGGGGCCGCACCACAGCAAAACCGTTCTGTAAAGAGAAAGAGGGCTCGTCAACCAGAGACCCAGCTCTCTGACCACATCTTCCTGAGCCTACCCCCAGACCCAAACTTCTCCCCTCAGAAGGGGCCACAGGACAACAGGTGATGGCATGTCTGCCCACGTCCAGGCTGCAACAGAGAGAGATATGTCTCTCTCTGGAGAAAGAAAAAAACTTGGTGCATAGGGGTGGCTCTAATATAAATCCCTGAAGGAAAGAAGGTACCGTACTCTCGGAGATGTCCTTGGGCCGGACCAGGGCACGTGAGTGAGCAAGTGTGTGGGGGTGGGTTGCCGGCAGGAAGAGGGGAGTCCGGGATTACATGCATCAGGCTCCTGTGTCTTGTGCAAAGTCAGGAAGTGAGGAAGGTGGTCAGACACTGAGCTCAGTTAGAGAGGGGCAGGAACATGAGGTCCAGCCCCAGCCCTCCTAGGAAACGCAGGGCCCTACACACACTCACAGGCCATGCCCAGGCTTGAGTGCACAAAGGCCTCCTCTGCCTAGAATGTTCTGTTCACAACCATCAGCACAGAAGGGACAGAGCTTGCAGTCAGATGCACATACTCTAAGCTCGCCAGCCTGGTCTCACATCCCAGTCCCAGGACCAATGAGCTCTGTGCAAGTTACTAATCACACAGTCCTCATCGAGAAAAGGGTTAGATCCAGGATTAAATACCATCAGTTTCTGGATGCGACCAATGATTCGCTGATGCTATCTGGTATTATTGTCACTATCTGCAGGGGAAATGCAGAATCATTAGATTTGCCCCAAGATGCCAAAAGATGTCAAAAGACAACACCCAAGTTTGAGCTCCTACCCATTACGGCAAAAGGCCTTCCCATGCACCATCTTCTCTTGCTACCCAATAGTTTTGTGATGGGGTGAATTTTACACACGGGCAAACTGAGGCCTAGGGAGGCTAATACAGAACTAAGTAAGACATGGAGTCCCATCTCTGATACCATGCTCAGGGCTCTTCCCACAGGGTTCTGGGATCTGAAGCGTCAAAAACCAGAACCTACCCAATCTACAATGAGGATCTTGCTGGCCTTGCCTTGTTGTTGCAGCTGCCGGCAGGCGATGGCTACTGAGTTGAAGAAGCAGAAGCCCCTGGGAGAAGGGAAGAGAGGTCCTGCCAGCCTATCCTCCCAACATGCCTCCACCTCTCCAGTCCCCTCTCCACCAGCACTGGTGTGGCTCAATCCCAGAAGGCTCAAGGGAAGCAGGGAGAAGGTTCCTACAGGAAGGCTTGGGGGCTGTTTCCCACCTCACCCACCCAGGACATTCCCAGGTCTCACATGGCTGTGGAATGATCTGCATGATGTCCTGGGGGCCGCACCACAGCAAAACCGTTCTGTAAAGAGAAAGAGGGCTCGTCAACCAGAGACCCAGCTCTCTGACCACATCTTCCTGAGCCTACCCCCAGACCCAAACTTCTCCCCTCAGAAGGGGCCACAGGACAACAGGTGATGGCATGTCTGCCCACGTCCAGGCTGCAACTGAAGTGGCCCAGCGCTTGGCCCCTGTGCTGTGTGTCCTCTGCTTTTAGGTCAGACATGAACACGGGACACCCCCACCCTGGTATGTCTTGGCTCTTACACCTTGCAGCGACAACAGCTTCTGATGGGTAAGCAAAAATGATGGTATTATATGGTACTGTATGGCACTTTATAAACTAAATTTTATCCCACAACATCCTTATGAGGTCAATATTATCCAACCCTCTCAGCATTTCCAGAAGACAGTATTAGCTCCGGTTTACAGATGAGACTTCTGAAACAGGTGACTTAAGCAACTTGTCCCAAGCTGTCATATTGTAAATGACGGAGCCAGGATTTTAACTGCAAAGCTCTGCTGAGGACCTGTGACACTGAAGACACTGGGACTGCCTTAAGCTAGAAGCTTCTAGACGATGGAGGAGTGTGCACTCCAATCTGCTCTGTACCAGCTCAGTGCTGGAAGGAGCCAACGCCGATGCATGGAGGTCAAGTCGCCCCGTGACTTCCCTTTAGTTGCACAGCAGGCCTGTGTTACATGATCCTGAGAACCAGACTATTTCTCTTAAAGTCACAGAAACCTGACTCCCCAAGTAACATGGGCCTAAGGTTCAAACCTCACTCTGATCCTCAGAACCCTCCATTTCCCCTCCAGATCTCTGTAGCCATGTCCAAAGGAACAAGATGTCCGGGGTTCTGCATCTGGACTCCCCACATCCCCTCTGTTACCTCTGTGGGTGGCCTATCTTCAACCCAGCCCGCCTACCTTTAGCTCTCGGGAGGCCACCTTAAAGGCGAGGTCGGTGACACTGCCAGCAGCCCAGCGGGCTGCATTGGAGGAATGCAGCTCGTTCCAGATGGTGTCAGTGTCCACCTGCGGGGGCCAGAGTCAGAGCCCGCATCATCCAAGGCTTCCCACAGGAGCCAGGGCCCAATGGGGGTCCCCATCCACATGGCCAGGACCCCAGGGGAAGGGAGTTGGGCAGACGGCGCTGCCTCCCCAGGGCCCCACCGCCCAAAGGCAAGGCCTCCTGTGTCCCCAATCCCAGCATGACACATTCCCAGCTTAAGTCCCAGCACCAGCCCATGTCTGGCCAGCACTTGCCGGCAGCATCACACCTGCCTCCCCAGTCAGGGGAGGGGGCATGGCGTTACCTGGGCGGGACTTGGGGTTTGGGCCGGGAGGGGGTTTTAAGCCCCAGCTGACTCTGCTCAGGCCCTGCGGGATGGTCGGAGCTGGAAGGGCCGTCTGCACCACTGTCTTCCACTCAGGGCCCCTAGCCCAGGCTGGGAGGCCCCCCAAACCCTGTCCCTGGGCCTCAAGGCTAGGGAGGGGCCGGGGGGCATGATGGGGAGATGGGGAGGGCGAGGCGAACCAAGAGAGGCGAGGAAGGCAGAGAGAGTCGCAAGAGGCTGGAGGACGAGAGAGAGAGAGAGACAGAGGGAGAGGAGGGAGGAGAAAACAGAAGCAACAACAGTTGGAAAAATCAGAAAGTGGCAAGAAATGGGAAGTTGTGAATAGGGCGCTGACTGGCTCCCAAATGGTACCCCCCCCCCCCAGGGCTACAGCTCCCACTGCCCCCCCAGCACTAAGCTCCACCCCTGCCTCCACATGTGCTAGAGAAACTACTGCAGGGACCCTCTTTGGAGAGAGAGTCCAGAGGGTTAGGGGGCTCCCCGCAGACCAAGGAGGGAGGAGGCAAAGGCAAGGGCTGGAGGGCCAGGTCCCAGAGTGGGAAAGAGCCTGGATCACCAAGGATCCCTCAGCTCTTGCCAGGCAGGCCAGGGTCCAGGGGCCAGGCTGAGGAGGCTGGACTGCACTAAAAGGCCCACTCCCAGGCAGCCTGGGACTGCCATGGAGTAGCCAGTGCCCCACCACAGGGGTCTTATGAAAGGAGCCACTGAGCCTATCCTGGCCTGCTTCTGACCTTGCCCGACATCTGTCAAACCCCTTCCGAGTGCAAGGCCCCAGGCTCCACACCTGGGAGACACTGCTGGACCCAGCACACACCTGTCTACAAGGCTCTTCCAGCCTGCAGGGTGGCATCAAGGGATGTCCCTGGTCTACCATATCTGGCAGAACCATATGAATGAGCAGATAGGGGCTGGGGCCAGGAGAACCAAAGGGAAAAGATCCAAGAGCCCCCAGCCATGCCTGCTCGAGAGCCCTGGGCGCACTTACCCCAACCCCTCCACAGGGCAGCATCACAAACATCCGCTGTGCCAGGAGCCCTGTGGGGAAAGGCCCAGCCCATGTGAGTGTGGGTTCTCTTGGCGTTTGCCTGGTCGGGAGCTAGGGGATCTGAGAAGCAGGCTGGCGGGTGTGGAGGAAGGAAATCATGCAGGATGAGGTAGAGGTTGGCAGCAGAGGGCCTAGGGTGGCAAGCTGGAGTGGGCCTGGCCAGGAGGCTAATTGAGGGCCACTGGGCATTGCTGAGACCAGAGAGCACAGGAGCTGGTGAGCGGGCTGACCAGGAAACAGGGTCCCAGGCCCACCAAGCCGTTACCTGCCAGCTTCCCGTTGTCCAGTTTGAGGCGGCTGAGTGGGTTGGTGCCATAGAGGAGAACGTGCCGTTCAGCGTGGACTGACTGTAGCTCCTCAAGGGAGGCCTTCCGGCCCCGGAGACACTGAGGAAGGGCCCAGAGCTCTTAAACCCTTGCATAGCACCCCCTCCCCCGACACCCACATGCCTCTGTCTCTCACTGACCATGTCTCTTCTACCTCCACAGTGCCGCAGCCCCCACCCTTGCCCCCTCACCTCACACTGGCTCCGGAGTCCCCGCTCCTGCAGCCGGGACCAGATGCTTTGGATGCGGCCAGCGTGCTCCGGGTGCCTGCTGTTGTCTCCACAGGAGCACTGGTGCTTCAGCATCACTGAGTCATAGACCAGCCCTGCCAGGAGCAGGGGTCAGGCTGGGACCCCAGGGAGCCCCTACCCTCCAGGCCATGGGTGCAGTCAAACAGGGAGCCAGGCAGGGTACACACTCGCACACCCACATGGCCTGCAGTGCCCATGCTGCCCCAGCCCTAACCGGTCATGCCAGTAAGCTCAGCCACATGCCTGCATGAGTGGCCTCAGAAAACCTCATGCACATGCCAACACAGCACCGTATAGCCACTGCCTTCCCAACACACAGATGTCACTTATGTGGCCCAACACCAACATGCCCTTGAGGGCTCAGAGCCTAAACATGACGGGGTCTGACACCAGGCATCTCACACTGGGCCTCGAGAATGCAAAGAGGCTACAAGGAGGAGTGGGAGGAGAAAGAATTCCTAGAAAACCCCAAAACTAAGGTCAAGGAAGCTGAGAAAGACACTGGGTCATGTAGAGGAGTGATTGTTTTAACCTGACCCATGAGAGGCCTTGGAAGAGAGCCCCTATCTCAGGACACCAGTGACCTTCAAAATGGTCATACCAGGACCAGCAATTGGCATAATGGTTACATCGCTGGACTCCCACGTAGTCAACTGTGGTTCAAGTCCCAGACCTATCAACTTAAAACTCATGCCGGGTGTGTGTGCATCTGTGCCCAAGATCCCAAGAGGAGAATGGAGGAGAACGGATTACAACATGGCCATTCCTGCCACCCCCCGAGGGGGGTGTGATTTCTCACTTTCTGTCTCTCTCTCTCTTTCTTTCTCTGTCGCTCTGGCAGGTGCTTGCACCCTATAGCAAAATCTCTCTTTAAAAAAAATAAAAGCTCACGCCAGGCTGGCCCTGTAGGCTACCGGTTAGGGAGCTGGATTCCCACATTGCCAACTGTATGGTTCAAATTCTAGCCCAGGAGACTTGAAGAACATGCTGGATGCTGGTCCCCCAAATCCCAACAGGATGAAGAAATGAAGAAAAGGGGTTACAGCATGACCATACCCCACTGCAGGTTGCTTTCTCCCCTTCTCTCTCTCTTTCTGGCCAGTGCATGTGCCCTCTGGCAATTAAAAACAATGCTCAGAGGCCAGCAGGTGCCATGGTGGTTGAAGCACTGGACTCCCACATGGCCAACCACAATTCAAGTCCCAAACCTGGTGGCTTACTTTCTCACTCTCCCTTCCTCTCTGTCTCTCTCTGGTCAAAATTGAAGAATAATGATAGTAAGTAAAATTAAAATAAATGTCTTTAAAAAAAATAAGTGCTCACACTGTTTGACTCAGGAACACCACTGCCTAAGAGTGATCCTGAAAAAAATAATCCCAGTCATGAGTACAGATTTATGCATAGAAAATTAAAATGAGGGGACAAAATTAGTAGCAATCTACTTTTTTCTTTTTAGAATTATTTTATTGAACTTTGTTTAATTTAATTAATTAATTTTTTCATTTATTTAAATTTGACCAGAGAGGGACAGAGTGAGAGAGACAGAGAAGGAAAGTGAGAAAACAAGCCGCCAGGTCTGGGACTTGAACCGCGGTTGGCCATGTAGGAATCTAGCACCTTTAATCACCGTGCCATCTGCTGGCCCCCAAAAGTGAGTAACAATCTAAATGCTCAACCAATAAGAAACCTCTAAATAGGGTCAGTTGGGTGGCAAAGTGGTTAAGGCAACTGGATCCCACATGGTTGACTGCATAGTTTGAGTCTTAGACGCAGCAGCTTGAAAAATCACACCAGGCGTATGTGCAAGCGGTTCCAAAATCCTGAGAGAAGGAATTGTGGCATGGCCATCCCCCAGGGGGTGGTTTCTCACTGCCCCCTCAGTTATCCTATAGCAAAAATCTAAAAGAAATTTTAAAAAAAGAGGAAGAAGAAAGAAAGGGAAAACAATTTCTAAATAAAAATAAAATACTGAGGCAAGCTGGTAGCATGGTGGTTAAGGCAACTACACAGTTTAAGTCCCAGACCCAGAGGCTTGAGAAACACGGCAGGCATGTGTGCATGCATGCCCAAAATCGCAAAGGGAA